CATCCCCCTAAGATTTCAGCTTTCTAGCTTCTCAGATCCCCGAGTTATGAACTTACCCCAAAAAAACTTTGGCGGGCCCCGTATGCGGGCACCACGCGGGTGCTGGCGCCCATTTGGGGAATTGGGGCCGGCACGTGTATGTAGATTAAGTTCCCGAAATTTCAGCCCTGCAGCTTTTATAGGTCTTGAGACGAAAGTGCGTGACAGACGCACACACGGACACACAGACAACCCTTCGTCAATGCGTTTTTACATTGCATAGCTGCAAAAAACGCACAAGTAGTGGGAAAAGTTTACTGCATTATGACTTGATGGAACGAAACATTCCTGTTTATCTGATTATTTTTCAAATAAATTTTAATGTCTTATATATAAGCATATAAGAAATTTATAACAATATTATACAGTATAGTAGAACGGAGGAACTACTGGAAAGAATAAATAACTGAAGGGGAATGTTTCGGTCCATTAAATCGCATTCTAATTCCCGTTTACAGTGCATGAATGCCTTCTGTATTCTAACTCCCGAATTTAGAGTGCACGAATTTATACTGCCTCATCCAGCACAACATATGAAGAAAGCTTAAACAGCCAAAGGACAAAATCCCTATCTTACTCACTCTTCAGGAGAAGTGGAAAAACACGGAAACAGCTCAGATGTTAGCAACTGCCAATAGCTACTAATAGGAAACATCAATAAATGCTTTGCTTACTGAAGGAATTGCAGAGAAGTTACCTCATCCACGCGCTGCTTCGCGTTCTTCATGCCCAGGAGAACGAGTACCACACGTCACAAACTGTGAATATCGTGTAGGCTGAAAAATAACAGTATGACGAGCCTCGTCTAAGTCAAAATAACCCCTTCCTTGCATTCGATCTTTAATAGGAACAGAGGCACTCGAAAGTAGCCTGACTGATAGCATGTGCCAACAGCAACCACCAGCCCTGACAAGGCTATCGATAGAGCTACTTTATCGAAGATTGCTTAAGAGCAAGCTGATGGCAAGTTCAGCTTCCCCACATATACCAGTACCAATTTACTATGCGTAGAAACGAATGAACGAATCGTAGAGAGACTGGTTGTTCCGGTGGCGCGCAGTGCAACTCTCGATCCACTGCACCAGGACAGTACCATGTTGGCAGCCATGGCGGTGTGTATTTTTTCTCGAGATTGCCTAAATTACGAGAAAATGCCGGAGAGACAAATCCGCCATCAGCTTGCTTCTAAGCAGCTCTTGAAAGAGGAAGCCATCGACAGAAGTCTTGTAAACGAGTAACTGGTATTAGTTCCTCACACACAGGGCACTGCTGTATTTCGAATACTGAAAGGACCCAGTAAAAATGACTTAACAAAGCTGAAGCACTACGTACGCTAGCACGCGTTCCACGTGGCGCACAAGAATTCTAGGATAATGCTCCTTCTCGCGTATAAATTCATTTTTGTGTACCAACAAGGTCTCATGTACGGACAAGTGAAAGTTTTGGCGCTAGAATTAGTAACTCAGTAACAACGAAAGCTAGGAGGCTGAAATTTTAGAATGGTGTCCGCTGCCTGTATATAAATTTATTCTCGTGTACGGATAAGGTCTTATATACGGACAAATGAAAGTTTTGGCGTTTATAATTCCTCCCAGCTTTTCTGGTTCCCGAGTTATTAACGGTCACGTCATCCTGCTCTGCAGCATATAACCCCCCCTCCCCCAAACTTCCTCAGAGAAGCTAAAACCCCCAACCCACCCTCCATGTACCTCTTACGGACTTGAAACGGGTGATCCATCCTACCCCCCTCACAAGGATACAAATAACGCGGTCCGTACAAATGACTCCGCAGCTTAGTAAGCCACCAGTACTATGGTGTGTACTACGATTGTTACCCTCGGAGTTCCGGGGATTTTTTCCATTGATTGAGGTTCTTCGGGAACTGTTGCCCACTTGGCTCGTTGACAATTTTCAGACTTTCAGTTTCGTTGGTTTAAATCGAAATTTCATGCAAAATTCCAACCAGTAACTTTAATTCGATCTGAGTGCCCCAAAAAGATCAAAGAATTTCACCGTCCAGCCAGCTCGCTGTGCTACGTTGATCAATTGTTTTGCTTGATCGTTGCGTTTCTTCTCGCCATTGATGCAGCTCGCAACTTCTCCATTCTTCTCCGGTTTACCTCATTTCCCGCATCCAAGTAATTTCAGCAAAACTCATCGCCAGTGTGAGAGTTCGAGAACTTCGAAGGAATAATGCACGGAAAGAGGGCACTGGTACAGTTCGTTCATCCCGGCAAATCTCTGCTCAAAAGTGCTGCGACCGCGAAAGCCCCCGAAAGCAATGTTCGTCTGGCGACCACTCATTTCGGATTTGAGGATGTCGATGAGGTCGAGAAGGGAAACCGAGGTAAAACCGCTTCAGCGCTCTTTGTTTACCTCTGTACGTTGTTTACTTGTTTATTTGTTTACCTGTTCACTCCTAAGCACAAATATTTGTGCGGCGCTTTGATCAAGTCGTAAGTTCCACCTGCACTCACGGAACCAGGACCGTGGACGTAGGTTGGATTGTAGCCTGGATGGCTGATTTACGTGCCCTACGAGCCCAATGGACGTTCGTTTTTCTGATAACTAGGTCCACCACCTACACAGCTGTGAGCCTACCCTAGTTACTTTGACCAATGCCACATCGCCTGGTGGTCAGCTTGCTGGCAATTTCACTCTTACAGTGGTCAGTAGTGGTCAGCCTGCTTCCGATCTTGGTATTGGTCTTGCCTTCTAAAGGGTTTATCAGTGCAGTCGTTTTCTCGATTGGTCATTTTGGCCATTTTCTTCTGTTTTTATTCAGTAATGGTCATTTTCTTTTGTTTTTTATGAGGTACAGACACACTGTTTTTTGATGAAGTACAGACACACACGTTAATCGAACTCGAAATATAGCACATTGCCGAATGCAATCAAAATTTTTGATCTATTACGTGCCCCGGTTCCCTCGAAAAACAATCCCCTGATGGATTAGACTGCCATGGCATGTGCCAATTTACCAATTTACCATCGAAACGAATGAACGAATCGTAGAGAGACTGATCATTCCACCGGTGGAATCAAAGCCCTCAACCTCCAGCAGGATGCCGATGCTCCTTTCTATACAATATCAAACACGCTAAATTGTTAGTTGAATCGTAGAGGGACGAGTTATTCCAGAATGAAAAATCCTCGATCTCCAGCAAGAAGCCGAT